GTTTTTATTTCCCCCTTTTTGTGTCCTTAGTTACACTTTAGTTCCCTCACCATAAAAAAGTCATTGTTTTCTTTCATCTTTTAAAACCCTTAAATGGAATTATAAATGCCTTTTTAATTGTAATATGAAGTGTAATATTCCATTCATAGAACTAGACTATAAAAAGGGTATAATACCTTTAACAAATTACAGAGACCATATTCTTCAAATATCCTGCCTTCGCTAACGTCTATAATGACAAACAGTGAAATCATTTTGAATCTACTGGGGCCAATTTACTGGTGCAGCGCACAAGGTCCAGTGCTTCCAGCTATAATTAGAAAATGGCGCCGGCTCTCTATTAGTTTCGGGTCCTATGCCTGCTGACTAGTGAACTAGATCGTGTATCTTTTGTAAATTGCTCTTGTTAGTCACTTGTAATTTATTTTATGTTTCCAACAACAATTTCAAACCAGCAATGTCAGGAACACATGTTTTTGCAATTATTGGAAAAACAGACCAGAGAATGTGCGCCTCCAACCTCGTCCCCACTATTGGCTATCAGTATTTATGCAGACTACTGATTATTTTTGAAAGTCATCAGAGATCGTGAACATAATTTTTTTAAATACAAGATAGAAAATATACTTCCTTTTTGGCCCAGAATATTTATTGCAGAACTATCTTAACATCCGTTGTGGATTCAAATTCAGTTAACATTTTTAAGGTACATAATGTATCTAAGATTAGCAAACACCTTTTTACCCATTCTTGTCCATGGCTGCATCTATATTCACTGAACGCTAATAGTGTGCTGTTTTCTTATTCCATTTTGGCATATTGTCAATGCTCATAAATGTATGCATAGTCTCAAACAGAATATCTTACAAAATAAGTATTGATAATATGTCAGATGCTTGGTATAATAATGAATATTTCAACAGTTATCCCACAGAGCTTTGAACAATTATGGAAGGTAAAATACCCAATATTGATTTACACATATATCCATACTTTACATATTGCTTTCCAGATGTATTTTCTTTTGAGAAATAAAAAATTTGGTTCATAACATATACATTATAAGCTAAATTGGTTCATAATCAGTTTTAGTGCATCAAATCACAGACTGACATATAAGGAGGTGATCAAATGTTATTTGAATAAATAAATGAGTAAAAATTTGCAACGCAAATATGAACTGAAGGATATATAGTGAGGAGGCTTTGCTTTGCTTGTACCGATAAATATATTTGCCTTTAGGATAAATTTATTTTAAATATTGATATGTAAAACCCAAATTTCAGTACAAATTTCAGATATGTCCCTAACAATGAGGTTATAATAGACCTCATTCAGAACTTGATAATCCTATCCGTAGTACTTGTATAAATGTAAAATACACAGATTATTCACTTTTTATATCCCTATGCTTATACTTCTGAATTACTGTATATAAAATTTTCTAAGATTAAAGTCCTGATCATCAATGAGATAAAAAGATAAAACCACAATGAGACTTTAAAACACTGTAAGCTCTTTTGAACTCAAACCTTTACCCCAATATTAAGAGTAATGAAGCTTCAAGAAACAGTTGTATACACATTAATTATTGTAATTATTCGAGCTGCTTTCCCTTAGGGCCACCAGATTTCTAAGCCGAAAGAGCATTCTTAGCCGACTATGACAATTAGCACCTGATAAATGATGCTACTGCCACACTTCTAAGATAGTGATTGATCATTTCCAATTAATTCCTGAGAGAAATCAATGCTTCCTTCCTAGAGCATTTACATTAACTAATTTATGTTAATATAAATATCCTATATCCACAATTATCTAGGGAAGGTGGGCCATTCTATTTATAACTGGCTTCTACTTAGAGCATCAGTATACTGTTTCAGAGCTCCATATATGTCTAAGAGTTATAAAAACCAAGGAAATTGAGCAATTTAACCACAGCAACTAAATCTTGACATCGATGAAGGTTGACCCATGTCAAATGCAACAAAGAAGCTTCAGAAGATTTTTCAGATTGTTGGGTTACAGCTTGAAAATGCTACCACATATTGAGGTCACCACTTTTTGTTTGGATTTGTCCTCCTTGTAGCCACTAGGAAAATTATTTATGTTTCTTAAAGATATGACCCAAAGGGTAACACTCTAAAGAAATGTTTACTCCACTCCTATTCCTATTTTATTATTTACTCCATTCCCATGCATTCATAAATAGTTATCAACTATTTAATATGCCAGTATGTCTAATGTTGCAGAGAGGACAAATAACTTGATACCAGAAAATTATCCTTTGAACTTGGTGTCAAGTATTGAGGGCAGAAGTTAAGTTGGTATAGGTTAAAGGAAAAATGAAGACTTCTACTTCTGGCAAAGCCGTAATTGCATGTTCAGTAGGGCTCAACTGCTACAAACATTTAGATTCTCAACAAAACATATTTTAAGTCTTCGTTGGAATTTTAGGAAATAAAGGAAATTTCCAAGTCACCTCTCGAACCGTGCCCCACCAACCCCCTGCCAAACATATTATCTCCAAAGGCAGAGATACGAGTAGCATGCAAACCTGCAGCTTCATCTTTGAGCGTACAGCATTTGTTCCAGTTGCCCTCAGTCATATGATTAAAAGTAGCTCACTAGCACCATACTGCCATTCCAGTTCACTGGAAGGGAGAAACAGGGCATAAGGACAAATAATTTCATATTCCTAGAGTGTGAATCCTAAGTTTGGCATATCAATTCTGCTTATACACAGCTGGTCAAAATAGTGTGAGGGCCATACCTAACTGCAAGAGAAACTGGAAATTTACTCTCTAATTGGGTAGCCATTTCTAGCTGAAATGTGGGGGTGAGATATTATGTGTCAAAAAAGATATATGTCAAAACATGAGACTTGCAGTGAAAGCAGAATCCAGAGACAATTTAATAATACAAAAAGAAAAGTTACAAATAAGCTAAATGTCCTTGTTTAAGAAGAACAGAATAAAACAAAGAAAATAGATGAAATAATAGCATAAACATTTGAAAAGGAAAAAATGTATGATAAACTATTAGTTTACTGGTAAACATTACGTAACATTTAACATCTGAAGAGACTAATCAAAAAAAAAGCAAAGACAGGCTAAGTAAAAAAAAAAAAAGAACAAAAATGAAACAGAACTATAGATACACTAATGACAAAAAAGCTAAGAAGATATTAGTGATAAAAAAATAAGAAACCACTTTGTTCCAATAGATTTGTAAAGTTAGATGAAATAAATTTTTAGATAAATGTAACTTACTAAAACTGACTTAAGAAGAAATAGACGTGGGAACAGCTCTTATAACCACTAACAAAATTTAAATTTTAGTTAAGTAATTAAAAAAAAAATCAAGCTCAGATTGTATTAGAGAATAATTCTACAAAACTCTCAAGGAATTGATCATTCCAATTTTATATAACCCTTCCATACAATAAGAAAAATAGAAACAGTCCATAATTCAAATGGTATGGACAATATATCTTAATTTCAAACAAAAGTAAGAATAAAATATTACAGGCCAACTTCACTTATGAACTGAGAATCAAAAATCTAAACAAAATATGCATGGAATTAACAGAGTATTAAAAAGTTAATACATTTGACTAAGTTGAATATCCCAGAAATGAAATGACAAATTATCATTAGAAAAGTTAGCATAATAAAGGTGGAAATAGACCTCAACATTTTCATCTCATTAAATGTAGGAAAAGCATTTAACTAATATTTATTTAGGACAGTCTCTAATCAGTGCAGATTTTCTTTATTTTAAAGGACTAAATATGAGAATGTTTGATAACTTTATAAAATCTAGAAATGGCATGTACATTTATTATAGCTATAGAAATAGTGGACATATGACCAAAAGATGGAAAGGAATACATAGACATTAAAATAGTGCTGAGGTGACAGGATATTCCTTTAATATTGTTATTTATACAACAAAAATGTGTTTACTGTATTAAACTCTCAACCCCATTTTATTTAATTATTTTTTAAAGATTTTATTTATTTGACAGAGAGAGAGAGACAGAGAGAGAGGAAACACAGAGAGCCCAATGTGGGGTAGATCCCAGGACTCTGGGATCATGACCTGAGCCAAAGGCAGACGCTTAATGACTGAGCCACCCAGGCGCCCTTCTCAATTTCATTTTAACCTCATTTTCTTTTTAAATTTATTTTAATGGTCAAATCTAAATAATAAGTTTCATTCTTAGTTCTCATTTTATTTTTATGTATAGTTGCTCTTCATAAATACTAATGGATTAAATTTACATAATTTACAAACATGTATTTATATTTATCAACCTAAAGAAGAGAAAATAAGTGAATATGCCTGTTTATAGCTTCTGAAATCATTTTCATATGCATTATCATTTTATCTTTTAATTATGCTAAGAAGTAGAAAAGGTGGCATTTTTCCATTTAACAGATGAATAAACTCTCATTGAGAGAGTGAAATAACTTGGTAAAAGTTATAGCAGGGGGTAATAACCCAAACTTAATAGAATATTGAAAAAATATAGGGAATAAACTGAGGGTTGCTGCAGGGGAGGTCAGTGGGGAGGATGGGGTAACTGGGTGATGGGCATTAAGGAGAGCGCTTGACGGAATAGCACTGGATGTTATATGCAACTGATGAATCACTAAATTCTACCCCTGAAACTAATAATATACTAGATGTTAACTAAATTGAATTTAAATAAAATATATGTGCCAGACCCTGTGTTAGTTGGGAGTTTACAATGATGATACAGATCCTTTTAACTAAATATTGGTTTTCAAATCACCAATCACCTAGAAAGTTTGTGGAGCAATTTAAGTTAGAAAATATCCAGATCTACATTGGCTTTACCACCATACAATGTTGGACAAATGTTGAGATTCAATTCCTGAGTCTCAATTAATAAAATTGGAAGCTCACAGCACATTGCCCTGTCTTACAGAGTTTCTGCTAGATGATTTAATTGTAAAACTTTGTAAACTATATAACATCATACATATGACACCAAAAATGTGCCAAATTTATTCGCCAAAAGCCAAATCTTAGGCATTTTCCATTAGAATCAGAATAAGTAGCCAGCACATAGACAACAGCATTTAGATTTGAAATAGTCTAATACACTCAATAAATATACAACCAGCCCGAAAAGTGCTAAGAGAACACTGAGATGTATGTCCTCAAATAATACTAACAGCAATACAACAGACATGAAGTCATTTTATTTGCCAACTCATGAGAAGCTTGAAATTATTGTTTCTCATTCCTTCCTCTCACTTTTTCTTATAGATTCCTAGAGAAATAAGATTGCTATAATCAATAGCATATTTTCAAATATTTAATTCTGTTTAAAATAAGATAAAGAATACAGATTAAGGTTCTAATCCTGGTTTCATTTATGCAAACATCTGGAGTACCTACCACATGCCAGGCACTGTGCTAGGCTCTGGGGGGAAAAGAAAACAAAACAGATAGGGCTTCTGTTCCCGTGTTACTTATTTTCTGTGTGCCCTTGGGCATTCTTCTTGATCTCTTTCAGCCTATACCCTGATTTATAAGAATACAGTCTTGGTATGAAGATTAGACAAGATTATCTATGTAATGAACATAACATAGAGCCTAAAATAAGATATGCTTAGGTATAAATATGGATTTTAAAATTTTCTTAAATCTATATCAATTTTTATCATTTTAAATAAGAGTATGCAATATAGCTGCAGAAATAGGGAAATTACAAACTGTCATTCTCTAAAGCTAAACCTTAGAGTTATGGGATTTAGGGTTGAGTCAACATTAGGACTTGCCCCTATAGAACTTCACTAGGTTGTTTCCTGAAACAGTTCATGTAACTGACAGAAGGAATTGCCTTTCTTCTTGCATTAATGGCAAACAATCTAAAAGATGGTCTACATGGATTAGAGGTAGAAAAAGGAATCAGACCACAGGAAAATAGAACCTACTACTGTTAACCTAGGATTATCTAAAAAAAAGTGTACATGCTAGTGGAACAGTAGCTTACTCCACGTTCTATTATAGAGTTAAAAATTCCACAAGATTATACAACTCCTCATTCTAACTACGTTTCTGGAAATTAGGAATTAACTTTCTGAACATCCCTACGTTTTCAAAAAAATCTTGCTACCAACTAACTTGGATAGGGACAAAAACATCTTTATAAATGCAAAGTTATATCCCCCTAATAAAAGTTAATAAAACACTCTTAAGTTTGGAGATTGGGAATCACTCTACCAGTTGTGGAGCATCTGGGTAAACTCACAAAATTAGGTTCCTACACACACGAGACAAATATTCTAAACTGTTCCTATAGGGCAGCCATTAAGGAAAAAATGAGGAAATTTAACTATTTTAAACACTTCATTTAACACATGAGGCAACTGTAGCACCAAGATTGTGATTTATTAATCTAGTCAATGGCTGAAGCACTAAAACCTGGGTCTTCTAATTCATATTTGGTTTGATTGTTTTACCATCAAATGCTAAATCCAAGGGCATATATTTGTATTTACTATACCTTAAGCAATTTTTTTTTTTCTCATCCTTAAGTCAGTGCTTTAAAGTATTGTTTGGTAAAAAACAAAAAACAAAACAAAACAAAAGAAACCTGTTTGGTCTCTGAATTTCAGAGAGCAGTGATTTGCAGAAATAAGAAACTCATTGAACAACACAATTTTAATACATGTTGAGGCTGGCTAATTGGTTAGGATACTAGGTTAAAAAGGCCAAAGTCCAGGGTTTAAACTCCAAATAGGCCAGTAAGCTTTTCAAACGAACATTTTTTGACAACACATGTTGTTGGTTAAAGGAAACTCTTCACTACTGAGCGGTGAGTAAGGGGGAGGGGGGCTACAAAAGTAAGCCATATTTATAGAAAAAAAGGTGGTTCTGTCACTTTTAAAAGTACACATCTTTTCAGCATTCTTAGGAAGGAGCCTTCTAATAAGCAAACTATTGTTAATCTCTTGGCTTTAAGTAGGATCCTTCCAATGTCACTCCTCTATCCACAAAATCCATGACAGTACAAGCCAGTTCCTTTACAAATTATAAATTATAATCCTATTATAAATTAGCACCTAAAATAATATTTTGGACACTTGAACGTATAGATCTGGAGCAAGCACTGGAATTTTAATTTTGTAAACTATACATACAAATAATAACAGAACACTGCCCATAGTGAACTGGGGCCTGGGCTGAGATCTAAAACCTTTTTTTCCCCCAACTGCACTATCATGACCCACTCCCAAGAGCTAACAACAGGTCTGTCCAGATGCTGAGACCAGGGACTTGGAAATCTCCATCTTGCGCCTTACAGGACTCCAGGGCAGTTAGAACTTCATCTTTGAGAGGTGGAGGGGCCTGACAGAGGCTTTGAAACCTGCCGTACAACTCCTCCCAGGACACGTGTTGGGACTCAGCTCCAACCCAAGTGCCTTTCTCAAGGTCGTAGCGCAGATGTCGACCCCAGTCTGTAAGCAGACCCAGGTAGGCCCGGGAGAGCTCTGGATGGCGGCCTGCCACCGAAGTTAAAAGCCCGACTGGGAGGTTGTGGCAAAAGGCAGCCATGACATCTGACTTCGCCAAAAGCCAACGGATCAGCTCCTGACCCCCCTCTCCGGGCGTTTTGGGGGTGCCCAGCTCCAACTCTTCTCCTTGGGGTCGGGGAGACGACGGGGGAAGCAACAGCGCGACCGCTATCACCTTCAGAAAGTTGTTCTGAGGCAAGCGGTCCCACAGAGTGCTGAGAAACCTGCTGGGGCCCTCGGCTTCGGCCTTCGGCACCTCCCGCAGACGCTCCAGCAGCAGCTCCGCCTGGGTCTTCAGCACTGCGTCCTCAAGCACCGAGTTCTCTCCGTAGCCGATGAAACGCAGCATGTGGACGGCGGAGCCGCGGCGGGCGAGGCGAACCAGGCTGCCTTGAAGCGTCTCCTCGTCGGCGTCCGGGACGCCAGGGCCCGGAAAGAGCTGCTGCAGCAGGTAGTGATAGGCGGCATCCCCGAGGGCCCGGTTCTCCAGCAGGCGCAGAGACAGCAGGCGGTCACAGCGCCCCAGCGCCTGGAAGTTCGTCAACCCGGGGACTGGAGCGGACCCAGGGGCGCCGTCCTGTCTCCCCCGCTTTTGCAGTCGCCGTTCCAGAGCCGTGCGAATGCGGACATGGCGGCCAAAGCGACTGTGGACGTGGCGCAGGTAGCGAGCCCACTGCAAGGCCCGGCGCACGGTTGCGGGGTCCCAGGTGCTGACGTGGGTCGTGCGGGAGACGGCCAGAAGCTCGGAGAAGCGCTCCAGGTGTTGCAGGAGCGATTCCATGGGGGCGTGCTTACTTCCGCGTTCACCTTGGAGACGCCGACTCTCTGCGTGCCGATTGGAGCGTCCGTGTAAGGATACGCCTCTCTACAACGCTATTGGATAAAGTCCTTATCAATCTGACATCGGCTTTAATCCGGGTATTTTGACCCCGGGAAATTTAAACTGGAGAAAAGGTCCGGCGGTTTTACTTTCGCCGCCAATATTAAGGAGGCCCTTAGGGCTGGAGGAGAATAAATGTGGGGCGTCCTAGAGAAAGTTCCCGGAGTCACGTGTGAGATGCTGTTAGTCACGAAAGTCTCCGTGCTTCCTTTCACTTTGGAAATAATCCCTAGTAGAAATTTCCTGAGCTTTGCCTGAGAGTCTGTGCTGAGGTTTATCATAATTGGGTAATGCCAGACATGGTGTTAATATTAAATGAAGGCTTTAATTAACTCAGTTTAATAGAAAATGTACTGGCCTCCAATTAATTAATGCCAGGCACTCTTAAATTCCGGCCTTCATGTTGTTCTTTCATTTTTAAGAACTGAAGCCCAGATTAATTGGAACAAACAAAACTTATTAATACTTCACTAAAAATTTTAAAGGAACTTAAATTTTCATTTCAAAATTGCACTATTTATTTTTGTTTTCATTTTTTCCATAGCAAAATAGCTCAGTTGAATTTTGTTTCACACAAACAACTAATTGAGCAAAAGTGACAGTTAAGAGCAGATACCAAAAGCAAATACTTGACTAAGATTGTGGGAAGAGAGAGGGGAGAGAAAAAAGGATCTATTTCGGGAATGTCATCTGGATTATTCACTCATTTATGCATTCAACAAATATTTATGTGCCAACTACTAGAGGTTGCACTGTCCAAATACCCACAACAATTTTTAACTTACTGATGTTGATGACACAGCTCATTTGAGCTGAGTTCCTTTACAGTGCTAAAGATACTAGCCAAAACTCATTCTAATTTAAGTAGGCAGAATTGATGTTTTGTTTTGTTTTAACAAAAGGGAAAGAGAAACGAATTTAAGAGGGGGAAGAGCCATGTTTCATTTATTAAAATGAGCATTCCCACATCTATACCTCTGAAACAAATAATACATTATATTAAAAAAAAAAGATAGTAGGAAGGGAAAAATGAAGGGGGGGAAATCATGGGGGAGACGAACCATGAGAGACTATGGACTCTGAGAAACAAACTGAGGTTTAGAGGGGAGGGGGGTGGGGGGATGGGTTAGCCTGGTGATGGGTATTAAAGAGGGTGAGTATTGAATGGAGCACTGGGTGTTATTCGCAAACAATGAATCATGGAACACTACATCAAAAACTAATGATGTAATGTATGGTGACTAACATAACATAATAAAATAAAATTAAAAAATTAAAAAAAATAATTAAAAATGAATAAATAAAGCAGTGATGCTTATGCTGTTAATTCAGTTTTATTATTTGATATTTATCAGCCCACAGTCATTTGGTCCTGAAGTATTACTAGATTTTATGCCAGGAATACCATATATCCCAAAATTCTTTGTATTGGCTACTAGACACTTTGAGCCCAGTGTGCAGCCTGCCTTTAGGAAATGTACAGGCTTCACTAATTCATTCATTTATTCTTCTATTGAGCACTTGTTATGTCACGTCATGTTGATACTAGGGATTTAGTGATAAATAAAATAAATGTAGCCTTTGTCCTAGTGGAGGAATTCATCTCCTGACTTTGAAGAGAGACATTAAACAAGTAACCTCAAATTTGATAGGAGGATAGAACAGAGGTAGGTCAGTAAGACTTAGGTAATAGGGAGACCTCTTTAAAAAACTGGCTTTTCACCTGAAAGCTCAAAGATGAGTGTTGAGAATTGTTTTCATGGCCAAGGGAACAGTTAAGTTGCAGATAACTGAGTTGAGAAAGTCCAATCCATTCAAGGAGGTGAAAGAAATCCAATAACGATGCCTTTAGTTCAGGATGGGGTGAGAACTTATGGCAAGAATTGTTCATATTAACTTCAGCTTCAGATCTTTCCACTTATCTCTTTAAAATACTATTTTATTTTAAATCCTTACTTGAGCAATATAATGTATAAATTTATACATATTTCACATTAGCCTATTTTCAATAAACAATGTCTATGAAGTTTTCCCCTTTAGAAGAAAGAAAAGCCTAGGGTTTAGAGCTTCTCCTCAATGTTAGATTTAATTCACCAAAATTCAATGAGCATTAATTCTACTTCTACATATAGCTTCTACTATATGTAAAGTGTTAGGGATTGAAAGATAATTATGACAGGGCCTTCACTTTAAGAAACCTACAATCTTGAGCCAGGGGTGGGGAGGGGCACAAAACCACTTAACTATAATGCAAATCAGATGTTATATGTTTTAAAAATTGTAAGAATGATTCTCTGAGAGACCAGTTATAAACTGGAGAGTCGTAGGAAAGTTTTATAAAGGACCAATACTTCATCCAGGCCTTAAACTCTTTGAGCAAACATGGAATAAGGGAAAATCCAAATGAGAGAAATAACAAGGTAAAACATATAATGACATGAATGTGTACAGTGTGGGCTACAAATACCAGGAGCAATCTCCCACTTCTTGGTTATGATCCCTAAGTTTCTGGGATACAGTAAATTAGGATAGTGTATGGAAGGCCAAATCTCAGGAGATTTTTGTTAAAACATGATAATCATTCAAACCATGGCTGTTAAGCAACAAACAAGTGAGGTTCAGAAAAGAGAGGACGTGAGATAATAAATGTAAAATGCTGTACTTAATATTATGACTGTCTTTTAATATCCATTCTATCATCACTCCCACCCACTTTGAATGATGACAATGCCATTTGGGATAGGGACTCAGCTCAGCTCAAGGGGTAGTACCTGGTAATTTTGAGCCAATCATTTTAATCTGCCCCTCTTTTAATTCAGTAATTAATTTAGGAACCCAGTCTTAAGACTTTCAATGTATAGTGTTTCCTAATGACAGAAATTTGTTCAAAAATAACCAGGTGAATCATTTTCAATCCCTTAGGCCTAGATGATTCAGAGAATACTTTCTTACTTTTGAGAGTCCGTAGAGCATGAACACTGAGCATGAACGTTGACTAATATGAAGAGGAAGTGGTAATAAACCATCTGAGTGTACATAAGCTGAATATCAGGCATGCTTAAGAGCTAGTTTCTGTCTTCCTCTTGATACTGTTATATATTTATATGAAGCCCAAAGCTGCCACAGCCGTCTCCTTCCCAGAGCCAAGAGAATCTCAGAATCACAAAGAATACATTGGATTAAGACAATCCTCAAACTAACCCCGTTTAGGATTATAGCCCTGTATGTTCCCAGTTATGGTATGTTTGTGTGTGTGTGTGTTGTTTGGTTTTTTGTTTTTGTTTTGTTTTGTTTTTTGGCATGTGTGCCAGTTTTAGTTTCATTTTTGTCAGTTTTAGCTAAATGCACCCAACTAGTACAAGCCCTGTAGGACACTATATGACATGTATAAACAATACATTGGCTATTGCTGTTGTTATTATATAAGCCTTGAAAGTATACATCTGCCCACATCTCTAAATTCCCCTCCTCCCAAAGGTAAAAGAGCAACCACCAACACTGTTATGGACAGTGGCGAAGAAAATTTTATTGAAGAAAGATGCGGCTTGCTGCAGCAATATTTACTCTTGGTCCTGTAAGTTTTCTAATACAGTCTTGTTCAATGCACTGTAAAGACTAGAAAAATCAAATTGGTTTTATTCTCTAGGTTAGGTCTAAATCTTAGTCCTATAATTTATTGTCCTAAATTATAGGACACTATGCAGCTGAGAGACCAACAAAAACAAAATATTCTGATATCTCTTTTTTCTACTCTGAACAATGTCATAATCACATATCACCACATTAATTTAGCTATCTGGTTGTTGACATAATATTTTTTCTATATGAATAGGTAGGCCTGGATGCCCCATCTTCAGGCAAGACAGACACAGAGGGTTTTTCCTTCATCCAGGAAACTGCTTCATGGAAGGAAAGTGTTTTGACCTTTTTACAGTCCCTCCAGGGGCAAATATTATGGGCAATGATTACACCTGATCCTGACTCCATTACCTCATTCAAAACAGTGGTAAGAATAGGTCTCTCTGTATTCTTTAGTAACAACAATAAATAACAAGCTGGTATACCTTTTAAAAAAATTTATTATTAAAATATAGTTGACATATAATGTTATATTAGTTTCAGATGTACAACATAGAGATTTGACAATTCCATACATTAAGCAGTCAGTGTTCACCACAATAAGTATAGTTACCATCTGTCAAGTTGGCACAACTTTTGAAGAGAGATTTCTCATAAAAAATTTGCAGACACATTTGTCATTTTTTTCCCCAACAATGCAATCTATCTTTCTGAGAAGGCTGTCATGGGTAAGGGGCCCAGGAAGTTAGTGGAAGAGTTCCAGATGTCCAAGAAGGACAGAGCATCGTCCTAGTGAATTCAGAGGAAGGTGTTGGAGAAGGGATTAAAAGGTAGGACTCTCCTTGTACGCATAGGTGTAGATGTCTGCTCCAAATCTCTTTTTTTTTTTTTCACAAATCTGAGACACTCCTTTCCATTTGCACTGTATGTGGCTTTAAGCGGTCTCAAAGCTAGTAGTAGAAAGACCGTTCATTTTTTTTTTAA